ATAATTATAATAAATACGTTCGCTGTTGTCCCATTTGTCAAATCTCACAATATTTGCAACTCACTTCCATTTCGGGAGATGAGAGTTATTGAAGAGAAGTCGAAATCTTGCATCAGTACACAAGGCGCGAAAGTTATTCTGTGTTTGTTATATATTTGGCTTTGGTTGGAGTTAAGCACAAAGGGCTATTTGTGCTCTGCCCAAAACGGGCATCAAAACCTGATTTTTATCGTCGTGGGTCAGCAGACTTTCCACATAGCTACTGTAGGCGTTTATTATATAAAAGAAAATTTGTTACATAACATTATCTCAAGTGGATCGTCCTAATACGAACTGTAGATCTGTGATGGAACATGTGTTTACCTTTCTTCAGTCTGGTAGCCATTGTTTTGACAAATTTCTCCAAGAAGTCATGTACAAGCAAGAGATCTACGTTTTAGTAATATTTCAGTCACATCACTTCCTTAATAATTTTGGCTTTCCTTAATAATCTGCCATGAATGGATATTTTTATAAAATGTGAATTCTATTTTACAAATTATCAGAAAGTCTAAGTATATATATACTCATAAAGCTATAGACATATGGTTCGTTATCATATATTAGGCATGCCACAAATGATGCAACGTTTTATGTATGAAATAGATAAATTCTATATGTTAAATATCGACGTTTAAATATGTTGAGATTCCAATATTTAGATATGTTTTATTTCTATATTCTATTGCCAATAATTCCTGAACACAGATATTTGTTTTCATAATTCGAACATCAGCTGTGTTCTTATAACCAGTTTGCTTCATTTCTGTTATTCTCGTTATTTTGTTTGTGTTTTATATAATGATAATGTTAGTAAACGTTTAATATTTTTCTTTTGATTTCTGGGTAACTTTAAGCCATGTTCTTAACAAAAACTAATTTCTTTAATTGTCTAAACACCCCCCCCCCCCAGTGGCACAGCGGTATGTCTGCGGACTTACAACGCTAGAAATCGGGTTTCGATACCCGTGGTG